TCGTGTCTCCATGGCATTAAACACCCATAGAAACATTATTTTTTTCCTTATCTACATCTATAATTTTATTTTCTGTTCTTTGAAATATGGATTGACATGTAGGGATTATGATGGGATAAAGACCGGAACCCTAGGCTCTGATATGGAGTTGCACAAAGTCTGTGATCTACACCTAGAGGGAGGTGAATGGGTCTTGTAACTTTACCTAATTTTTACCGTTTTTTGAATTCTTAACTAAATCATCAGAACTTCAAATTCAAATTAAAACTAAGTAATGAAATTCAATCAGTCCATCATGCTAAAAATCATGCTGTTCGATTAGTAAAACCTAAAAGCAGTAAAAAGCATGAAGACAGGACAACAAAAATTTTACGAGGACGGGACCTAGTCCAGGCAAACTAAACCCACTATGAGAAAGAAGTTACACCTAGGTTAACAATTCCAAAGCCCTCTTGACACAGACTGATCCACCAAATGCTCCATTCGAGTCTTCATGCGCACAATCCGTTCTTCAACAGACCCGCTCCTCACGCGGTTCGCTTCTTCAGCCAGTGATTTTGTCTACAATGACCAGTCGTCCACATCAATCTCTGTTTAATTGAATAACTGCTGTTGTTGAACTTGTTCAAATCAGCTCCGCAGCAAACACATTGTCAACACACTCAAACGACAATCGCCAATCTAATGAAATTGAAAAGAAAAATATGCACTCAATTTTGCTCAAAACCTCTCAAAAATAAAGTGTGTGTGTGTAATGGATTTGTCCTATGGTAGTGTATTTGTAGACAAATCAGTGTTGTAGAGAGAGAAGGCTTTTTTTTTTTTTTTGATAAGTAAGAATTCATTAAAGGCGCTCAAAAGGGGAGCCCTCCCAAGAGAGAACAGTATAGAGAGAGGTTTTTTAATGTCATAAGCAGAAAATGAAACTGCTTTTTCGAATAGCTTGATCGATTGAGAGAGATGTGGATTGATCGATATGACTTCAGAAGCCCTTGATCGATACCTCGATTGATTGAAGCATTCTGCAGTCCTATACTTAGATTTTTTTTTTAAAGGTAGTTTCCTAAACACTTTGTGTATCAATTTGGATTTTCCAAATCAAATCATAAAATCTCAAAACCTTGGTGTATGAATGCATGAACTCTAATTTGCTGACCACGTAGAAGTGTCAACGTACCCTTATATCCTTGGTCTAGAAGATTACGCTTTATTTATTTATATATATATAAATTAAATTCATTCAAGAACGCTCAAAGCAGAGTACACCAAAAAAGAACTACACAGAAAAATCCAACTCTACAGTCTCCAAACTCCCTATGTGCTTTTACCTTTGAATGTAGCTTGAATTCCATCTTGGACCATGAGCAAAAGGTAACAAACTAGTGGTGCAACTCGGGCAGGTTAGAGGCTCAACCCAAAGTATAAAATCTTCAACCCTAACCCAACCTGACCACTAACCCGAGCCCAACCCATTCTTAATTTTTTAAGCTCAGGTTGAATTTGGGCTTCCAACTCGGATTGATACTTCGGGTTGATGTACTAACAAATGGAATAACCTTAATAATGAAGATATTGGCATGACATAATAACAATGGATCAAAAGCTTACAAGTTTAATCATGTTATTACATTACATGGTCCATAGATAAAAACACAAAAGCTAAATGTGCAATATTGTAAATCCTAAATTAGAACAAAGTTTACATATAGAAGCCCTCATAAACGAACATTAATAACATTACAAAACAACCAAACTTCAAGTGCAACATGTATGTGTATGTGTTGCGCTACTAACCTAATTGGAGAGAAAAAACAAAAACTAGTGATGTACTAGTCAATTTTAGTCAGCTCTGAAACCCCTTCATACGCTTTTGAAGTTCCCAGAAGAGTTCTAAAGTTAGTAATCTATTGTTTTTTTTTTTTTTGGACTTTAATGCATTGTCTTCAACGACACAACAAAACTAGTGATACCAGTTACTCCTCTTATGTGGCTAAACAAACATGTCATACAAAATATGATTCAACTAAGGAAAGATATAGCAGTCCTCATCACATACTGTAAACCAAATGCAGACTAACAGCTGAATAATCCTAATACTGCATAAAAAACTAGCTTCAAAAATAGTAAAACACCAAACTTCAGATGTTGCATTTACAGCTACGAAGTTCTGATACAAAAACATTGAAACACCAAACTTCAAGTGCAACATGGCAGAATTGTGCATTTATTCAGTTCTAACAGTAAAACTAGTTTCAGTTCTGATACAAAAACAGTAAAACACCAAATTTCAATTGCAACATGGTAGAATAGTGCATATATGTACAATCTGATACAAAAACAGTGCATGAAAAGATACAAAAACTGTAACAAAGTAACATCTTTCTCTAAATCTTCGAGTTCCTCTAGTTTTTCTTCTATCTCAACACTTAAAGGAATAATCATTCTAGCGATGTAGCCCTCTTTGTGACGAAAGTAGTCCCCACTCTCTTCCTTGTGCCCTCGAAGGTGCTCCTCATGTGTCAGCTTGGACTTTCACCTATGCCTTTTACTCACTTGTGGCTCCATTATAGTTAAAGTGGTTCCTCATTCTCTAACAGCTTTGGGTTCCAACCACATATCAGGAACAATATCCTTAACCCATTCCAAGCCCTGACACCAAACATTTTTCAAATACATTAGTTTATTGAGATCATCGTGTCCAAGTTGCAGCTTTTGCTTTTAGTATGTAAAGTTCTCCATATCCTTGCGACACACACACACACACACACACACACACACACACCAGTCCTACAATATAGATCAGGAACAGCTTTTCTGAAACTGTTCTAAGCCCCAATTCTGAAAACTTCAACTCATCCATTATTTTGTTGGGGTCATCCTATTCAAATTGCAACTTTTGCTTTTAGTATGAAGAGTTCTACATATATACAACAAAAACAAATGTATGCAAGCGTGCAACCTGTTGTTATAAATTCATACTGAACTACTAATATTCTGAGTTACTAGAAGAGCATATTGAAAAAGGAGATGAGCAAAAGGGTGGGTAATGATTATTTATGCATCATTTGTGGTTTTATTACCTCTAATTTATGAAGTAAGTTCTAATTAGTATGGTAAAGAGAGCACTGGGGGTTATTATTGGATACAATGGTAAAAGCTCAGACTAACAAGCATGAATGGCACTAAAGGTTATGTATGTTATGATTCTTTTTTTTTTCCCCCTTCCTCCAAGTTTGAGATGCAGAAGAATGGAAAAGAATGTGTGGAATTTATGATTCTGTATCTGGTGATTGTTATATTTGTCAAAGATGTGGTGTTGACAACCGAGATGAGGAGAGAGGAGAGAAAAACAGAAGGTGTAAAACAGAACTTGTTATATATGGACACTTTTGATAAACAGGGATTTTTTATTTTTTCATTTTCTTTTTTAAATAGGGGTTGTCACACACTTGTATCATCATTTCATATTTATTTTGTGCCACAAATTGCAATTTCAAATTAAGAAATCATAATTAAGAACCCAATTAAATAGTGGTCCTATGAATAAAAATTGAAACTAAACACTGAAATGAAATAAATATTCCAAGTATACTTATAAAGTATGCAATTCTGGAATGAAGACCATGACACATGAGGGTAATAAATAAAAATTAAACAATTTTTTAATAATATAATTGTTTAATTTTTATTTCTATTATTTACATTTAAAATAAGGCTTCATAATACTTTTTTTGGGTAGAACTAATTATTAGTTTGAGAGAGAGTAAACTTAAATAAATAAAAATAAATAAATAAATAAATAATTGATTGCATGTTATTTTTCCTTTCCGATAAAATTATATATTGTTGTTACCAAGTTTATTATTATCAAGTATAGATCAGAAAAATATTGAAAAAAAGAGTTCGATGAGCCTTCCATCTATATGGTAGTTTATGGCTGACACACACACAAAGAAACTCACTAAAAAAGAAAGAACGTAACAACAAAACAAACTTCTTTTTTTTGGCAAATTGTTTTGCACCATTAAATTTTTGAATGAAATAAGAATTTTGAATAAAGAGGAACTTTTTCTACTGAAAATATTATTTTCGCCTATTTTGGACGGGAAACGTTTTGGGAGAAAATAGTCAAGTGCAAGAAGCTAAATTTTCTTATACTTTTTCTCTCCTTCTATCTAAACTCCAAAAAAGAATTTGAAAATTTTTTTTTCCTTTCTTTTCTAATTGATTCCATCTAACCAAACAAATCTTATCTTTGTGTGTGTGTGTGTGTATATTTCCGTTTTTAAATTATTAGGCCCTTTGCACTACTTATTACGTACAATTGACCAATTGGTTTGTTTCATATCTTGAATTCTGAAACTATGCCTGATTAAAATTCCGTACTTAACTATTTTCATCGATGAAGCCTGTGCCACCTAAAAAAAAAAAAATACACACACACAACTTTAAAATTTTAGTATAACTACAATTTGAGGACCCTAAATGAACATTTAAGTAGTTCATTATTCATTTGTCAACCGATGTAAAAAAATAATAGTTTGTATTTTTTTTTCTTTATATTTTTCTTTCTATTGAAAAATTACTAAATAGTCACCAAATTTACAAAAAAAATGTCATTCTACTTGTCATTTACTTGTCATTTAGCTGTTGGACATTATTTGGAAACTTTTGATAAAACCCAAACTTGCAAGGTGGGCTATGAAAACTTGGTGTCACAAAACACAAACATCAAAGACTCAAGAGTAGATTAGTCGTTCCACCAGCCAAGTCAATGAAGCCAAGCAATAGGGGTTTTTTGTCACGACCAGAAGCAATAGGGGTTGTTTGGCACGACCCAAAAATTTTAACAAAATATTCTGATATCATTTTTGTCACACCCTAAAAATTTTAACAAAATGCTCTGATATCATTTGATACTATTTTGTCACAATTCGAAAATTTTAATAAAATTCTCAGTTTATACAAATCAAAATACAGCAAAATACACTTAGGATCATAAAAAAAATTGTTCTCTTTTATACAAAGTCAATTTCTTCAATATACACAAAAGAAAAAACTCCAAATAAATAATTAAATCTGGCAACGACGACTCTTCCACCTAAACTCGAATCTAGCAATTTTCGCACATCTTCGGTACCTGAAATTAGAGGGTGGTAAGAAAAAAAGTTTTAGTAAAAAAATCATACCAAAAATTTCATGAAGGTTTAATAAAACAGCTTTACAAGATAAACATATACAGGTGAGTATAAATAAAATATATATGCATTTAATTAAAATATTTAATAAATTATTTAAAGCAAAATTATCCCAAGCCATTCAAAATATAGAAAATCTTATACTGAAAAATAAATATTTCCTCACAAAATCATCAAAGCCTCAAACTCCAACCTCCTCTGCAAACTCCTCAAAACTTTCGGTTCCCCCTGTCTTTTTCTAATTTTTTTTCTCTTTTGTCATTGTATTCGCTTAGTGCACAACTCCTTCAATATAAAGGCAAAACCACTGAGACGAGGGAAAAAAAAATCAAGTAAGCATCATTTTTGGTGGATCCCACCACCCACTTTCTTTCTCCATCATCATTTCTTTTCTCTTTCTTCTTTTCGACCTTTTTCTTATCTTTCCATTCTTCTCATACAAAGCCCCGTGAGAACTCAAACCAAAGCAATAATTTTGCTAAAAAATCTATTCGTGGGCCCCGCCATCACCTCTCTAAATCTCGGCTGCTCTCTTCTCTTCACTCATTCCATTATACTACGTATACATTATATATATATATTAAAAAAAGTAACCAACTAAATCAAAAACCACAAAATATCTCGTGAGTCCCGCACCAAAACCATCACAATTCTCATTTTTGCTTCCCTTTCCAACTGACGCAATCCAAAGATATATATATATATAAATATAAACTATATACACAAACTACACCTCCACTAAAATAACCTCAAAACAAAAAATCAAAATTAAATCAATTACTAATTTTCTTTCTTGTCACTTCGGCCAGCCTGCTCCCAACAAACATATATATATATATATATATATATATATATATATAGCAACAAATCCAAATTCTGAACATGTAAAATTAAATAAGATCACTAAAAATTATGAAATAAATATAATTTAAAATCTTAAAAATTTAATTTGTCATATTGTCATACATGTATCATCATTTCATATTACTTTGTCCCACAAATTGCAATTTCAAATTATGAAATTGTAATAAAGAGCCCTATTAAATAGTGGCTGTATGAATAAAAACTTAAACTAAATGCTAAAATGAAATATATATATATATATATATATATATTCCATGGAACTAATGAAGTATGCAAGTTATGGAATGATGGACACGAAGTGGTCCTTTCATTTATGCAAATCCAAAGACCATATATATTCAAACTTGAAATGGAATTATGGAAGCGTTTTGTCTACACCACGCACAAAGACGTTTTGGAATTGGAAAGATTTTGGTGTAACTAGGAAGATAATAACGTCTACACCACGCACAAAGACTTTTTAGAATTGGGAAGACTTTGGTGTAACTAGGAAGATAATAACGAGTAAGTGAAATGGATCCCATCGTGATATCGATATATCGTTGGATGACAATTACGTTCTTAACACCTGTCTGTAGAGAATGTGTTCTATTTCATTAATAAAATTTGAGTTTTGCATATAAAGATTGAATTATTAAGTGGTTCGGGATCATGTGGTCCTAACCAATCAAGAAACGCTCATATATATCCAACTTGGAGAAAAACTTCCTTGCACCTTTAATACTTCGTTGTTTGTGCCATCAACCAATTGTATCATGTCACCTAAGTAAAAATATTTTATTTTAGTGAGTCTTGTCACTACATGATAATATTTAATAAGCTAGTAATACCATATCCTCGCTACGACCTGCTCAATTAAGTTTTTCTCCCAACCTTGCACCTATGAATCCAAGTTTATCACTGACAGAAAATAATAATATATAGAATTAGCAACTTTCCAGCCAAGTCAATGAAGTGGTAAAGGTTGTCATACGCTTGTATCAATATCTCATTTTACTTTGGTCCATGAATTTCAATATCAAACCAAGAAATCATAATTAAGACGTCAATGGAGACTTAAAATCTATATTCCGTGTAACAATGGAGACTTAAAATGGAATTATGTAAGCGTTTTGCCCGGATCACACGTAAAGACTTTTGGCAAAACAGTCATGTCTAACTTATATGGGTAGACTTTGCTGTTGTGAAGACCTTGGTGCAATTGGAAAGATCGTAGCCAATGAATGAGATGAATCTTATTGGAAGTCAAAATTAACACGTTCGACTTTATTATTTGCTTTATTTTATTTATTTAAATATGCGTAATCGTCTGCAAATTATGTGCACCGTTCAAGTTCAGATATTTTGCATTATGTTAGAGTTGAAATTAATACATTAGAGTTTACAATTTGTCTCAAAAGATCACTTATCTATTGAGTCACTCGCGCGGGCTGTGGTGGTGTTGAATTCTCTAGCCTAAGCAAATGATAATTCAAATACCCACTAAAATAATAGCATGTCTCATACATCAAATAAAAATACATCAATAAATAAATTATTTTTAGAATGAACTTCATATACAAAATTGAAAATGGATACAAAAACACCATTGTGATTTTAATTACTGGCACCCAACAAATCAAATTGTTCAATGAAACCACCTACTTATAAATATAATAAATAATCAGGATAGAATCCTGGTAGGCACAAATAATTCTTTGAAGGGGTGTGGAAATAATAATAATAATAATAATAAGTTTAAAATTTTATTATATATAAGTAAAATTTGAGGGTTCTAAATGAACATTTAAGTAGTTTATTATTCATTTTTCAAGAAAATATAGAAAAGTATTATTTTCTATGTTTTTTCTCCCCTCTTATTTTCCCTTTTACTGAACAATAGGTATTTGTTATAAAAACACCCTGGAATACCGAAAGAAAATTATTAGGAGCTCATATCCACGAGTCGTGCCCTTATATTAAAAAAAAAAATGTATTTGTTATGAAAAGATTTGTTAAGCTTGTATGATAACAAAATTTGAACATTTTAATTGGTCATTTTGCATTAGTTAGTTATTGATGGGTGTAGGTGGAACTCATATCCTCGTACATGAAAGGCAGTATTTTTTAAAGCACTGTGCCTAATTTGAAATACGACTACAAAAGGCCCTGTGAAACAGAGTCAAAACAGAGTTTAAAGAGGGGAATAATTTAATGAAGTGTTCGTTGGTTTTGGTGGGACAACACGCAAAAGACTTTATGTGGAATTATGGAAGCGTTTTGCCCGCGTCATACGCAAAGACTTTCTACAAAGAGGGAAAAGAGGTTATGTCTAATATATATATAATCCAAAGCCCTGTGAAATAGAGTCAAAACAGAGTTCAAAGAGGGGAATAATAAGTGTTCATTGGTTTTGGTGGGACAACAGGCAAAAGACTTTATGTGGAATTATGGAAGCCTTTTGCCCGCATCACACGCAAAGACTTTCTGCAAAGAGGTTAAAGAGGTCGCGTCTAATATATATAATCCAAAGACTTTGCAATTGCAAAGTCTTCGACGCAATAGGGAAAATAGCTAGTGAGTGATATGGATCCCATTGTGAGATATATCGTCCTATAACAATTACGTCCCTAGCACCCGATGGAGCCTATTTTGTTAAGAAAATTTGACAATTTTGTAGAAAGATTGCTTCAGAAAATATCGATCACATTACGTGTAGAGAAAATTTGAAAAGAAAAAATTATGAGGAAACACTCTTACTGTGAAGTGATTGGACACCATAATGAAACACTAGTTTTATTTTTATTAAGAGTCACCGAGATATTAGAAATTATTCCATAATCATTGGACCTTATTCGGGAAAAATTAGTAGGTAGTGCAGGACTATGTGGTCTTGGTCAATCACATAACGTCAATTATTTATACCCAACTTTGCACAGTAGGGTATGACTCCAAATTTGTCACAAAACAGAACATAAGAAGTAGAATTAACCATCGCCATCCAAGTCAATGAAGTGGTAGAAATTGTCACACACTTATATCATGATCTCATCTTACTTTGTTCTACGAAAGACTCCAATTAAGTAGTGGCTGTTTGTTTAAAACTTAAACGGCACGTTGAAATGAAATAAATTTTTTATGTGGAATTATAGAAGCGGGTTGCCTAGATTACACGCAAAGACTTTCAACATAGCCGTCATGTCTAACAAAGACTTTGCAATTGCAAAAACTCTTAAGTATTTAGAAAAATGGTAGCGATTAAGTTTTATAGAATTGTCAAAGCACTGGTTTCTCAAAAAAAATTTGAATTGCAACTTCAGATGTCAGTGGTTGTGTAGGGTTTAGGTGGTGGGCTCAGATCCCTATCATTACTCAAAAGCAAAAGATGTTGAACAACATCTCATTCTACCGTTTTAGGATAATGATTTCGGAGATAAACTCCCTACCATTAATTATTTTATGGATTTTGAAATAATTGAGGAGAGGTACATGTGATTCGAAGAAGAACATGCGCCTAAAAATCAGTGCTTTGACATATTTTGTTAGGAATTGTATTGTGTTTTGACATTTTTCATGTCAAAAACAGTATTTGTTATTATACTGTTGCAATTCAAAAAAAAATTAGGAGTAGAAGAGAAGTTAGAAAATATTGTGTAATTTATGTCATAAAAAAAAGTGATATAAATATATTGTATAATTTATGTCATTAAAAAAAAAAATTGATGCAAACAAGAATTATATGATCAAATTATTATTATTTTTTTATTATCACTTGACTTTGCAAGTCTCATAAGAATTTTTCAAAACAAGAACTACTGATTTCCAGTGTCACCACTTCCAAAACCGAAGATAGATAGCTAAATCAGATGACGTGGAATTTACTCAATTTTCTTATATCCCAAATTCCCAATTGCAAAATATTAAAGTAGTAAATCCTAAAATAAAATAAAAACCACAGTTTGGCTTCGGTTGAACTTATTGGCTGTTGATATTAAATATGTTCATAAAAATGACTAAAAAACAATAAGGCTGCTTAAAATATTGTTGTCTAGCTTACAGATTGATAACATCAAACAAAAGGCTTCATTTGTTTCGGGTAAAACATTATAAAAAAAATGCATTTTGTAATTTAAACTTTTTTGATTGCTTGCACAAAGCTTTACATAAAAATTTTGAATAAAGAAAAATAAAAGTATATTGGAGAATTATATTCATGTATAAATATTCACATTTTGTATTCTATTAAAGGCTTGAGTTAAGAGGAAAAAAAAAACATTTGATTACAATTACTTTCGGCTTCCCGTTCGTTAATCAAGTGAGTATTTTAGCACGTCACATATATTTTACATTTTATATTGTGGAATGTTGGAGAGTTCGAAATTTTGTATATTAGAAAGCTCGTAAAAACTGTTGTCGGTAGAAAATATTCAATAATAATAGAGAGTTTTATAGAATTGTAAACTATTTTTATGATTAAGTTTTATAGAATTGTAAATTATTTTCATAATTCTAAAAGATTATCTGCTATTGTGAATAGTAAATATTTCCATGTGTACACCTATTGAAAGCATTTAACTTCAAATATAAAAAAAAAAATTAAAAAAATTAAATAAAAGAAGTTTAGTCGTACGATTTTAGCAATTATAGTTTAATCTAAACCTTCAAATTTAAACCTACATTTGAATTTCCCTATTACTCGTAAATTGAAAGTGATTACAAGTATTCAAATAATTTGGAGTTGATTGCAAGTATTCAAAATAATTAATCTTTTTTTAGAATTTGGTAAAACAATCTGGAATACTGAAGAAAATTATTAGTGAAAAGATTAATTATTAGTGATAACAAAATTTAAACATTTTGATTTAGTCATAACAGAGTATTCTATGAAACAGAGTTTAAAGAGGGGACAACACGCAAAGACTTTATGAAAAGACAGTACGTGGTTATTAGGAAACTTCCCTTGATGGTTCGCACCTGCCACCTGCTGCTATAAATACGTTGCACATCTTCCTTCAATTCCATTCTCATCCATCATCATCATCAATATATATTAAATCTTTTGATACAGTATTATAAGTTCAACATATATATAGATATAGCTAGTATTAGTTACTAGCTGTTGCTTATATCCTTGCATGACTATGGCAAAATCCATGACAGATGTTAGCATTAATCTTGCAATTGTGTTTCTGATTACTTCAGTAGTACTAACTTTTGATACAATTGTGGTCTTTTGTAGTGGAAACAACAGCTCTCATCATGTGGTTTGCGTGGAGAATGAAAGACGAGCCCTTCTGAAATTCAAGCAAGATCTAAGTGATCCTTCAAATCGTCTCTTCTCTTGGGTTGCTGATCAATCAGGAGGGGACTGTTGCGAATGGGTTGGAGTTGTCTGTAACAATTTAACAGGCAATGTCCAGGAGCTCCACCTTCAAAATCCTTTTCTTGACGCTATATTCAGTTATGTTGGATTTGATGCTTTTGCATCTATGCTGGGAGGTAAGCTAAACCCATCCTTACAGGATTTGAAGCATCTGACTTACTTGGATCTTAGCGGCAACAATTTTAATGGGATTCAGATTCCAAGCTTCATTGGTTCCTTTGGGAGCTTAAGATATCTTAATCTCTCCTATGCTAGATTTGGAGGTGTCATCCCGAGTCAACTAGGAAACCTCTCTGGGTTGCACTTCCTTGATCTTGATGGAGTTTTTGAAGGAGTGATTCCTCATCAACTGGGGAACCTCTCCAATTTGCACTATCTCAGACTTGGAGGTTGGTATGATGGCAATCTATATGCTCACACTCTTCAATGGATTTCTGGTAGTTCCTTGTTGCAGCACCTTCATCTGGAGAGCGTGAACCTCAGCAAAGCACATGATTGGTTGCAGCAAATCAACATGCTCCCTTCTTTGGTAGAGTTACACTTGGTCTATTGTGGGATTCATCACTTTCCTCCTTTACATATTCTTAATTTTACTTCTCTTGCCGTCCTTGATCTTTCTGAAAACCGTTTTGAATCAATTCCACCTTTTCGTCTGAGAAACATCACCTCTCTTAGATATCTTGATCTTTCCTACAATCTCTTCAATTCTACAACACCTGATTGGCTATCTAGTTTTAGCCCCCTTGAATACCTTGATTTGTCCTCCAATCTTTTCAATTCTACAATACCTGAGTGGCTATCTAATTTCAGTCATCTTGAATATCTTGATCTGTCAAGGAATTTCTTCACAGGGGGATTGCCAAGATCCTTTGAAAATCTTTGCAACTTGAAAGTACTCATACTTTACGAGAATAACTTGAGCGGTGATATACTGGAGATTTCAAACATTTTGTCTAGTTGCATTTTAGATGAAATAGATACTCTAGATTTAAGCTACAATAAACTTCGGGGCCATTTTCCTGAACTTGGAAGATCTAAAAAATTGGTCTCTCTTGATCTATCTCATAATTCTCTTTCTGGTGAACTTCCAGTGTCCTTGGGAAGATTACATTCTCTGAAGAATGTATATCTTTATAACACTAACTTGAGTGGACCTCTCCCTGAAAGTTTTGGCCAACTTGCAAATCTAGAGAGTTTTTATGTGTCACAAAATTCATTACAAGGTGTCATCTCTGAAGTCCACTTCGCCAACCTCACACGATTGACGTATCTAGATGTATCTGGGAATCAATTGTTCTTGAGTGTCAGTCCAAATTGGGTTCCTCCATTCCAACTTGGGGAATTCTCATTCAGGTCATGTCGGTTAGGTCCACAATTTCCCCATTGGCTTCACTCACAGAAAAATTTAGTGATTCTAGACATATCACATACAGGAATTTCGGATACCATTCCTAGGTGGTTTTGGAACTTATCATCTCAGATTTTCTATTTAAATATCTCTCACAATCATATCCATGGAGAGATTGTATATGAGTTTTTAGTCACATCTGTGCCATTCAGTGCAATTGACTTAAGTTCCAACCACTTTAATGGTACATTGCCTCGTTTGTGGTCAAATATATCGACACTGGATCTTTCGAACAATTCATTTTCTGGATCTATTTCTCAATTTCTGTGCTACAAGATGGATGAATCTAAGAACATGCAACTTCTTAATCTGGAAAGAAACCTTTTGTCAGGAGAATTGCCAAACTGTTGGACAAGCTGGAATAGCTTGAAGTTCATAAATTTAGCAAATAACAATCTAAGCGGCAAAATCCCAAGCTCCATGGGATCTCTAGATTTTCTCGAATCGTTGCATTTACGAAACAATAGCCTATATGGGGAATTACCTCTGTCACTGCAAAATTGCACAAGGTTAGTGGCTATTGATTTTGGTGAAAATGAATTTTCAGGAAGTATACCCACATGGATAGGAGAAAGGCTTTCATATCTCAAGATTCTTATCCTAAGATCGAATAAGTTTCAAAGCCATATTCCTAAGAAACTTTGTGCACTCAGTTCACTTCAAATCTTGGACCTTGCACATAATAATTTTTCAGGAAGTATACCAGCATGTTTCGGGAATTTGAGCGCCATGGCCATACAACAAAACTCAAGTGAACAAATCTCATACTGGCCTAATTCTACTACATTCTTTTTTGAAGGTTTTTTAGAGAGTGCATTACTGGTAATAAAAGGACAAATGACGGGATATAGCACTTTTCTTCAACTAGTTACGATCATGGATTTTTCAGATAACAATTTATCTGGAGAAATTCCTGAGGAATTGACGAGTCTCCGAGGGCTTCATTCTTTAAATTTGTCATATAATCTTTTGACAGGAAGAATTCCAAAGAATATTGGTGCTATGGAACAACTAGAAGCCATTGATTTTTCCATGAATCATCTTTTTGGTGAAATCCCTCCAAGCATGTCAAGTTTGACATTTCTAAGTCACTTGAACTTGTCCTACAACAAATTGAGTGGAAAAATACCATCAACCACTCAACTTCAAAGTTTTGATGCATTCAGTTATGTTGGAAACAGTTTATGTGGACCTCCTGTTAATAACAACTGCGGTGTTAATGATACACCATCTGCTATTGAAAATGGAGCGGACAAAACAGGCCATAGATTTGCAGTGGACTGGTTCTATGTTAGTATGGCACTAGGATTTGTGGTGGGCTTTTGGGGTGTAGTTGGTCCATTTCTGTTTAACAAGTCATGGAGATTTGTATGTTTTCAGTTCATGGACAATATCTGGTATAGGTTTCACAGCGTTATATGTTCATGTGGATGATACAACAACATAAATAAAAATTGTGATCTTTATTCATCTTGTAGCACAGAAATTGAGTAGTCTGTGATTTTCTGCATACATAGATGATTGAATTATGCTTTCAATCATTCTCTTGCATCAATTTCCTATCATCAGTAGCACTCAACATCAAAAGGCCATAGTAGATTGAAAGCAGTTAAAACACATATTTTAACTGCTTTTTGCCTGTAAATAAGGAAATTATGTGGCTGCATCTATTTTTATTTTTATTTTCATTTTTAATTTTTTTCTTCGGTAATTTTAGATCTCGTATGAACTCACAAACCAAGAAAAATAAAAAATATAAAAATATAAAAATAAAAAATTTAATGAATATAATGCTGAATAAGTACGTTATTAAAGTATAAAGTTGACCAAATCTTGAGAAACAAAAAAAGCAAGTATAGACAATCTGTTCTTAAGGTATCTTATTATTTATTAATAAAAATGCAAACCATGAGGAATATAAAATAGATCACCCAATTCTAGGTCTAAGCGAAAATCAAAGACTAAATAAAAATAAAAAGTGTATGCAGTGCCATATATACAACCTATATAAGATGTTAGGAGAAAAAGAACAAAGGCAGATTTAATCTTAATATTATTTCGACAAAGAGCCTGCTTTTATATTCAAACGACTTCAAATTTTTTTTTTTTTTTAATTATTATTATTATTTTATTTATTTTATGGACTTTTCATTAAGCAACATCGAAAAATAATTGAATATATGTGTGTGTATATATAAATATGATTTTAGTCCACATATCTATATGTTTAGGTACTTTGAAGGAGAAATTACTGGATGACAATTGGAGGACCGATTAAATACAAACTTCGAGATTAACAAAATATATATACATATATTTACAAGAGTATATTAATATATTATAAAGTGTCATGATTGAAAAACTTTCATTAAATTAGTCCACCAAATGTTAAATAGACCAAAATCATTCAATAATTTCTCACTTTTGAAGGCACTTCGACATTTAAAATAGTTCTAAAATTGACTCAAGCATTCAAACTCATTTATATATAATACATGCATGTATTCAATTATGTGTGCATATGTATCCTAGTAACATCCAAACCAAAATGCAATAAGCATGCAAACTCATTTTCATTCACATTTTTATTTTATTTTTACATTTCTCGTTTAACAATAAAATTTAGAGTCACTTACAAATTTACAAAGAACTTTCATATTAGAGCAAATTACACACTAATAGAATGTTAAACAATTATTATTTTGACTTTGTGTGAAAGTTAGTAATGCCCCGTTTTTTATAAAAGGACTGGCAATATTATCCGTTGAAAAAAGAAGGCTAGGGAGTGTCGCCAAATCTCAGAAATGGTCAAAATAACAAACGTTAAATGATTTACCTGTGTGTAATTTGACAAAACCTGATGTGAGTATGGTTCAAGATACGGAGAGCTTCTAAGAGAGTGCAGACACACAAATCCATCCAAATATGAGTTGTAAAAGTAAGTATTCTTCCTCATCTACAAATAGATCTACAACTCATGCTCAAGCAGTAAATTTTCCACAACACTGTCATGTGATCATTAAATTTAGCATACATTGAACAAAACGAAGGTTAATTAATTGCGAAAAAATCAAGATCACTGCATGCATGTGTGTGTGTGTGTGTGTGTGTGTGTATATGAGCGTACAGACATCCATAGTAGGCTAGTAGCCATTTTGCCTATAAGTATAGGCAAATTAACTCTGCTGAATAAACAATAAGCATCCATAATAGGCTAGTAGCCATTTTGCCTATGAGTATAGGCAAAATGATTCCACACCATTACACTATACCAAATACATTGTCTGTTTTGCAATCACCACCTTGTATATATATATTCTGTTCTGCAATCTGATCAATTTATTCATCAAATCCACCTTACAATAGCCATTAAATACAGACGACGGGTTTACACTATTAATATCACAAATTTATTTGTTTAATAAAATAACAAGGCGCGCTTCAACTGCTGATGAGTAAAAAATATGAGATTCTAACAGACACAATTAAAATCACAGCTAGAGAAGAGTGCCACAATAGAAAACTAACACATGCAGACAACATGGGAGTCAGAATTCTATAAATGCATGCCTTTGCTGTACAACTCAAAGTTGCGAAGAAGCAACATTACATTATAATATAGTCAACGAAAAAAAGAGAATGGCAGAGCATACCGAAAGATCAGATGACACAGAATTCCTCAGTATAGAGCTGGCACAGATGGAAAGGAACAGCAGATCGTCAGGGCATTGGAAGCAGAACAGGTAGATTTCTTTCTGAGAATCACATTCATGATCACATTCTTACAGTATTATTATGTTGATCTGATGACTAATTTTTTTGGTATTGAAGAAATCATGAAGGAAGTCAGCAGAAGGGAGAAGCAAGCTGGAATTATCCCAGAACTAGACATAGCCACTTACATGAAGGTAAACAATAATCTGCTTGAACCAATTCAGCACAATTCCATTTCCTATCATGTTCCACAAAATTATGGCAGCTTGGTCCATTCTCTTCCTGACTATTTGCAATGGTAAATTACACCAACAGGCAATTTCCATAGAAGGATTAAAAAGAACTCTTCAGACAGGCTACATTTTAAAGGTAACTTTCCTCAACAAAGTTAAAAAAAAAAAAATTCAAGAACCACTTTCCAACTTTTGTTTAGTCAGAGGCTATTATTCTACCACCACTTTTATGGCTATTCAGATCCTTGGGGCTGGACATTTGCGCGGATACAATTGTGGGAGATGCTACGAGAAGAGGGATATCAGGTGGTCAAAAGAAAAGGCTAACAACAGGTTGGTAGGCAGGCTCTAACATTTCAAATTTTACTACGAGGTCCCCAATAGATAGTCACTCGTTAATAATCAATCGAAAACTATTAGATTAAGATCTCTAGTGATCCAAAAATTATGGAGTTAGTTATGAGAGTGAATCATTTGTGGCGCACCTGACATGAAAATCTCTCATTTCACCACAATAATTTTCACTAGTTTTTTATGTGCACCTACCAGGGGAAATGATAATTGGTCCAGCAAAAGTTCTCCTCGTGGATGAAATTTCAACTGGCTTAGATAGTTCAACCACATTCCAGATTGTTTCTTGTCTTCAGCAGTGGACACGCATTTCAGGATCCACCATTTTGGTATCACTTCTTCAGCTAGCACCTGAGACATTTGACCTCTTTGATGACATCATCTTGATGGCTGAAGGAAAGATTGTATACCATGGGCCTCGGAATAATGTTTTGGAATTCGTTGAGCATTGTGGTTTCAAGTGCCCACCAAGGAAAGGCATCACAGAGTTCCTCCAAGAAGTATGTTTCCTGTTCAACTCATTCAATAACATGTCCAAATTAGTTACTTTTCACCCAAAGGATTCTATATACATGCAGGTAGTTTCCAAAAAGGATCAACCACAGTACTGGCACTATAAAGACCAACCTTACAATTATGTCCTTATAGCAGAGTTTGGAAACAAATTCAGAAAGTTTCATGTGGGGCAGAAGCTAGATGAAGAACTTTCCCGACCTTTCAGTAAATATGAGTTCAACAAAAATGCGTTGTCGTTTAACATTTACTCTCTCGGAAAATGGGAAGTATTCAAAGCATGCATTGGTAGAGAATGGCTTCTTATGAAGTGCAACTCATTCGTTCACATATTCAAATCCGCACAGGTAAGACAGAAAGTTATTGTAGGGTTGCATCAGTGTGCAAATGGTCTGATTTTTGCCTGAGAAATTAGTAAGTTCTTTTATTCATCTTAATTAACATTTTATTCATGCAGCTCGTAGTCATTGCACTAATAACAATGACGGTGTTTAGACGTACACGAATGAATATTAACGTCGTCCATGCAAATTTATATATGGGAGCTCTGTTTTACGCCCTCTTTAGACTCGTGACCAATGGGGATACAGAGTTGTCATTGACTGTTTCTAGACCTTCTGTCTTCTACAAGCAAAGAGATTTATACTTTTACCCTGCATGGGCTTATTCCATTCCAGCAGCCATTCTGAAGATCCCATTTTCATTTCTAGATGCTTTTCTTTGGACTGCTCTCACCTATTATGTCATTGGTTACAGTCCTAAACCAGAAAGGTATGTTCTTTAAAAAGGTATTCAATTATGCAAATAAATGTATTCCCCCTCTCCAAGTCCTAACATTATATATGCCTACAGGTTTCTTGGCCAGTTCCTTCTTCTTTTCCTTTTACACCAAGTAGCAATATCTTTTTTCCGTTTTGTTGCATCCGTGTTCCAGAATCCATCTGTCGGTGCATCTTGTGGTCTCTTCTCCTTGTTAGTAATGTTCTTATTTGGTGGCTTTATTATTCCGCGACGCAAGGACATAGCATGATTTCATTTAAGACCATTCTATCCAAAGTAGATACTTCTGCTAACATAATTATATGTCTCTGTCAATGCAGCCATTTTGCCTACTTCGCTAAAATGGGCCTTCTGGCTTTCTCCATTAACATATGCAGAGATCGGTGTTTCAGTAAATGAATTCCTTGCCCCAAGGTGGCAAAAGGTAAAAGCAAAAGCTCGTTATTTTGTTGACTAGATCAATGAAGAGACCAATACAATTGTTTTCATTACAGTGAGTGCTTATTCAATCATTCTCTTTACAGGAGGTTTCATCATCAAATGCTACTATAGGCCAGCAAGTCCTAACAAAACGTGGGTTAAACTACAGTGGTTACTTTTATTGGATATCAGTAGGAGCATTAGTTGGATTTTGGATGCTTTTTAATATTGGATTCACCTGTGCACTGAGTTATTTAAAGCGTAAGCTTATCTCCCTCTCATGCAAATACTAACTAGAAAGAAAAAAAGAATCAAGTTATAGATGGTTTCTTCATTCACTAACCTTATCAGTTGAAAATAAAATGTCTTCAGCTCCAGGAAGATCTCGGACTATAATTTCTCATGAAAAGCTCTCTGACATAAGAGGGAAAGACAATCTCAGAAATATATCTCAAGAAAAAGAATGCCGTCGTGCTGATTCTTCCAAAACTCCTGTGGAAGAAGGAATAGGTAAGAAACTAATTGTATAACAAAAATATGGGTAAGAAGGTAGTTGTATGTTTCAACAGCTATCTGAAGTTGAAGGTAATACTATTACATATAACATTAATGGGGTCGTTTGTTCTTAAGCAGACTAATACTGACAAAGAGTCAATTAGTGTAACAGGGATGGTTTTACCGTTTCCCAATGACAATAACGTTCGAGAATGTGCAATATTTTGTTGACACTCCTAAGGTAATTGTATTATCCAGTGATGACTAATTCTAACACTGCTGGCATGGATATGACTTGAATTGATTAAGTTTCTTTCATACATCTGTTACAGAAAATGAGAGAGCAAGGTATCCAGCCAGAAAGGCTACAACTTCTACAAGATATTACTGGAGCATTTAGGCCTGGAATTCTTACAGCTTTAATGGGGGTTAGCGGTGCTGGGAAAACAACACTTATGGATGTTCTTTCTGGAAAAAAAACTGGTGGTGGTATCGAAGGAGATATAAGAATTGGAGGTCACCCAAAAGTCCAAGACACATATGCCAGAATATCAGGTTACTGCGAGCAAACTGACATAAATTCTCCACAAATTACAACAGAAGAATAAGTGACATTCTCAGCTTGGCTACGCTTGCCATCTCACATTGATCGAAGAACAAAATCTGTAAGATGTCTCTACTTCCATTGAATATACTAGCAGTTTCCAACATTAATGCAATAAAGAAACAAGTTGCAATAAGTATTTAACATGAATCCTTGTATAACTCGCTTAGATATAAAAGAAAAGAAGAAGAAGAACATAGCCTATGGTAAAAGAAACTAACTGTTGCTTATCTGAATGCTTCATTCTTTACTTGAATGATTCACTAACGTTTGTATGTTACAGGAATTTGTTGCTGATGTTCTTCAAATGATTGAACTTGAAGATATTAAAGATGATTTAGTTGGTTATCCTGGTGTGAGTGGTTTATCAAATGAGCAGCGTAAAAGGCTAACCATGGCTATAGAGCTTGTATCAAATCCATCTATAATATTCATGGATGAACCCACTTCTGGTCTAGATGCCAGAGCAGCTGCAATTGTCATGCGAGTAGTGAAGAATATTGTTAAGACAAGGAGGTCAGTGGTGTGCACCATTCACCAGCCAAGTATTGACATATTTGAGGCATTTGATGAGGTAACTAAGTAGAACAATTCCGTATATAAAAATAAAATTAGTCCTGTGATAAATTATTAGCATCACAATAACAGTCACTTTGATCCTCCAACATCTCTAAAATGCTAAATATGCAAACAGATAGAGTCACCATGGTACACCACAAAAAAAAATAGAGAAGTTCGGTGCTTAATTTTGGGATATCGTCCCCACACACTCTAGTGTTGTATGAACAGCGTCATGTATATCTTTAAACTGAAAAAGGTTGCTAGTTACATGTTTCTAATCACAAAAAAATTAGTTGGTAGGGACAATTTACTACATGAGCCAACTTTTACCTCAACTAGTACTCATTACAGTATCTCCAGCTGATTAAATGAACAGAAAATTAATTCTGGACACGATTAGAGGGTGAGCCTTGGCGCAACAGTAAGGTTGCTCCATTGTGATCTGGAGGTCACAGATTCGAAACAAGGAAACAGCCTCTCCGCATGCGGGGGTAAGGCTGAGTACATCTAACCCTCGTGCACTGGGTTTGCCTTTTTTTCTGGATACGATTACTTATTACTTACTAAATAAGAGTAATATCATTGGAAAAATCTGATTTATTTATTTATTATTTTTATTATTTTTGCAGCTAATTTTAATGAAGAGAGGACGACAAATAATATATTCCGGAGAGTTGGGGCAGCATTCAAGTAAACTTATAAAATATTTTCAGGTAAGCAACAATGACGTGCACCTCTTCCCTCATTCTAACTTTATGTTTTCCTTCTCCATATTAATTAAAGCAGCCAATGCGCAAATTACACTAACACTAGACAATGGCCTTCTTTGTTCCAAATAATTCTATAGTTGCAACCAGGTTAATTCTTCCCTTTAATAAAGAACAAAAGTGGTATTGCAATAACGAAAATATACTACTTATACCAAACTACTCCATAACTAGCATTTAATCATAACCCAGAGAAATGAAAACCATAATCACTAAAGAACTAGAGTGTTTTATGGCAGAGCATTGATGAAATGCCAAAAATCCACGAAAATTACATCCCTGCGTGGATGTTAGAGGTTACAAGTACATCTTCAGAAGCACAACATGGTTTAGACTTTGCCCAACTCTACAAAGAGTCTCATCTATGTCGGTAAGCATAAGCATTATTTATGAGACTCTCATTGACACTCTTTAAGATGTTGGTTTTTCACATTGGTTGATATACGAAAACCTAGAAAAATAAATAAATCAGGTAATAACGTTCTTTTGTATGTGGGGAAACCAAAGCACTGGTTAATGAACTGAACTGCCCAGCACAAGGTTCAAATGCTTTACATTTCTCTACTCGCTTTTCGCAAAATGGATGGAAAAAATTCAAAGCATGTCTCTGGAAACATCACCTCACCTATTGGAGGAGTCCCAAATAAAACTTGGCGCGATTAACATTTATGACCATGGCTTCTTTGGTATTTGGAGCACTTCTTTGGCAAAAAGGAAAGCAAATGTAAGCCATCGTTTTTCAGATCCAACTGATTTGCATATAATAACATGTACGTTGCTGTTACTGTTCGTTTTAGGGGGAGATATGATTTAAAAAGAAGAAGTTTCTTTCAAAATTCTGAGATAACACAGACCAGTTCTTCATGACACAACATAAAAGTTACATTTTCATTTTTTTTTTTTTTAATTATTTTTACAGCAACCTGCTATTATACGCATTTATATTTTTAACATCTTAAATGCTGATTTTTGTTATCTTTGTTCTGAAGAAATGGAGAACAGGATTTGTTCAATATCCTAGGAGCAATGTTCATATTAGTACAATTCCTGGGAATAGGCAACTGTTCATCAGTTCTACCATTTATAGCTACTGAGCGCATCATTGTATACAGAGAGAGGTTCACTGGAATGTACTCCTCATGGGCCTACTCATTTGCACAGGTTCAAAAATGTTCATAAGCATATTTTAGAATTTCTAAAGGTCAAGAATACAAATAATAAAATACAAGTAATAACAATAATTATTATAAAATAATAATAATAATAATAAATTTGCATATTTTCATACGAACATAATATTTCTTATATTGCAGGTGACTATTGAAATTCCATATCAATTTCTTCAAGCAGTTTTATTTGTGATAATAACATATCCAGCAATAAATTTCGACCTCTCGGTAGACAAAGTATTCTGGTACTTCTACACAATGTTTTGTACAATGCTCTCTACTTCACTTACCTTGGGATGATGCTTGTTTCATTGACCCCAAACTTCCAAGTCGCTTCAGCACTGGCAGCCTTCTGTTACACCATATTGAATTTGTTCACAGGATACATCATACCAGGACCAGTAAGTTAATTCTGACTCTCTTGAACCTGATAATTGTTTTATCAACTTATTAATTGAGCACTTACAACACCATTCATGTATTCAACTTTTATGATGTCAAAGCCAAAAAGTCTAGAAGGCAAAACTATGCCTTTTTATCCAATTGAAGTC